ATTGTCTCAAAAATTGTATCAAAAATTGTGCCCACAATTTTCTACTATTCTCTTATTTATAGAGTAGAAGTCAAACTTCTAGAATGAATCAAATTTCTATCTCCAATTTGAATTTCGAAACGAAATCTCCTCTATCCCTTATCCATTGTGGCCGGCCACTCTAGAGGATTTTCATCCCTGTGTGGCGCCAATTTTGCAGATAGGGAAGGAAGAGAAAATCATCCTTTATCCTGTAGTCCAATCTTGACTCAAATTCAAATTTCAATTTAAGTCATACTTAAATTAATTTGAATTTTAAATTGAACAACTTATCAAATAAGTTTAAATGGATAAATCTAGATGTGTTCAAATTCAAATTTAAATAATCATATTATTTAAATAATAATTAATTCTCAATCAATTATTTTCGAGTGTTTAATTTTAGAATTCCGTAATTCTAAAATTCCCATTTTATCCTTTGTGTCTGGTAGAATTACTAGGACGACGCGGGGACTAATGGACCTATAATCCCGAGCTCTAATAAAATTAATAATTAATTAAACACTTTAATTAATTAATTAATTCTATTAATTCTAATAGTTATTCCACTGTAAACTTGGAATTGCACTCTCGAAATTATAGATATAAATTACTTCTAAACTGTGAAGTGTCCATTTGATATAGTCATTGCATATAGATCGAGCCTCCATAACTAATTCATAATTAGAGCAAGGTAAAATCCGTTAACCTCTCTAATTACTTCTTTATCCTTGAGTACCATTGATTCTCTAATGGACAGTGATTCATAAAACACATTCATGAATCGGAGCTCCTACTGGTCCAAGTACCGAATCAACCCTCAAGAGAATTATTTATCTTCTTCTTTCTTAAGAAGGAATGGATTCCATCTCGTGTAATAACATTCTCAACTACCTACTTCATCATGTCTCCAAAATACAAGGAATAGAATTCAGGATCTCAGAATCTGTACCGAGTAAATCAAAAGACACAAATCCATAAATAGGAGTCTGTTAAGAACTTAGGATTAAGACCATCCTATATATGACCATCGGTAGACTCAATTAGAATTTCTATACTTAATGGAATTATTAGAAATTCATATTGTGTCTGTGTTCTTGTTTCACATAATCTCATTATGTGAAATACACTCATTCAATATCTCACCATATTAACAGTGCGGATAACACCGTTCCATTCTAAATGGGAATGACATGTATTAATAATGTTTTAATTAAAGATTCCGAACTTTAATTAAATTCATTATGAACAGTGTTTTTTATTTATTATCCTTAAACATTATCCTCTCGTATATAACACTTATATACAATGTTTAAGGTTACATAAATAACCATGGAATTTTTATTGATATTCATAAAATATTCATAAATATATGCATATAAAATGATGAATAAACTCTTTTATTAAATAAATAATAAATATCATATTACATCTTATGCTTCTAGAACACCATTCCCAACAAATATGACTACAAAATCCCAAAAAGGAATTGAAGTGAAAAAAATAAAGTTTTAGGGCAAGAAGTCAAAAAAAGGGTTAAAAAGACTAAAATAAAAAATAAATAAGTTTTAGGGCAAAAGAAACGAAAACGAAAAAAAAAAAATAAAGTTTCAAGGCAAAAATAAAAAAATGGACAAAAAAGGATCAAATGAAGAAATAAATAAGTTTAGGGCAAAAAGAACAAAAAGGAGAAAAATAAAGCTTCAGAGTAAAAATAAGAAAAAATGGTCAAAAAAATGTCCAAAATGAAAAAATAAATAAGTTTTAGGGCAAAATGAACTAAAACGGAAAAAAAAATTAAAGTCTCAAGGAAAAAATAAAAAATAAGCCAAAAAAGACCATGATAAATAAATAAGTAAGTTTTAGGGTCCAAGATGAAAAAATAAATAAAATTTGGGGTAAAATGAACCAAAACGGGAAAAAAAATAAAGTTTCAAGACAAAAATAAAAAAAGGTCAGGAAAAGATCAAAATGAAGAAATAAGTAAATTTTAGGGTCCAAGATGAAAAAATAAATAAATTTTGGGGTAAAATGAACCAAAACGGGAAAAAAAATAAAGTTTCGAGACAAAAATAAAAAAAGGTCAGGAAAAGATCAAAATAAAGAAATAAGTAAGTTTTAGGGCGCAAAAAATAAAAAAGGAGAAAAATAAAGTTTTGAAGTAAAAATAAAAAAGAAGGGTAAAAAAAGATTTAAATTAAAGAAATAAATAAATTTTAGAGTAAAATGAACAAAAAGGGAAAAAAAATTAAGTTTCAAGGCAGAAATAAGGAAAAAAATGGTCAATAAAGGTTTAAAATGAAAAAAAAAAATTAGGAGCAAAAGAAACTAAAACGGAAAAGAAAATAAAATTTCAGGGCAAAAGATTAAAAAAAACAAGGTTTAGAAAAGAGCCAAAATAAAAAATAAATAACTTTTAGGGTAAAAACAAAAAAGAAAATAACAAAAAGATTTGAAAAAAAAATAAAAAGAGGGAAGGGGGTACGTTTTGGTGGAAAAAACGCGTGAACTGGAAAGCACATTGTGCTTTCTATTATATAGATGAGGATTTTTTTTTTAATTCTTAAAGTGATTTATCAGTTATCATTGGTAAATGAATCATATATATAACTGATAAAACCGGTAAAATCTCGATAGAAATTGATTTATCACAACTGATATTGATCAACTAAGTGATAAATCATCAAATTAATAGTGATAAAGTACAATTAATTAGTAATAAATTAATGTATCATTAATTTACTATAATTTGTCACTGAAAATATAAATGGTTACTTTTCTAATTGTACAAGACATCGACCACTTACTAAAAATAGCTTATCAAAGCATTTTTTTTGCTCAGATGATTCTCTAGTTGGAGATTAGATAAGAAAGTAATAAGAGAGTAATGTAGTCACCTAATCTTTTTGTTTGAATTTATATTAAGAACACATAAATTAAAGTTATGTGATTATATTTAACCTTTTCTTTTTCAGTTCGATTATAATAAATTTTTTTTACAAAAGAGTTTAAACGGAATAAATTTTAAATTTTAAAAAATAAAATGAAAATTTTTAAAATTTAAAAAATAAAATGAAAATAACCTTAAAATACTGGGCACTAGTGAGATTAATATTAAGAGCATGTTTGGTTGGAGGATTCATTTTTTTATTCGAATCATGATTCATAATTTACTATAATATTTTTTCTTCTAAAAAATACACATAAATTAAAAATAATTTTAATCTATAAACTAAATGTCTCATTATTTAAAATTTATTTGAGGGCGGTTTAACACCCGCAATTGTGTTCATCTATGTAAGTGTGGACCCTGGCTATTTTGCCGTCCTTTCTTCGTTGAAAGCGTAGCTCTACTTTATGTCTTTATCTAAAAGGAAAAAAAAAAAAAAAGAAAAAAAAAAAAAAAAAAAATTTTAAGGGGGAGCTTTCTTCGTTGAAAGCGTAGCTCTACTTTATGTCTTTATCTAAAAGGAAAAAAAAAAAAAAAAAAAAAAAAAAAAAGAAGAAGACTTTAGTAGGAGACTTTTCATTGTTTCTCATCCAATAAACCATTCTCTACTGCTTTGCGTTCTTGGTTTTTTTTAATACTCTCACTAAAGATTAATTTTCTCTTTGATGTTCTTATCTGATATGAAGTTACAGAAAAACGTTTGCTTTCTCCCTCTTCGTTTGAGTTAATCCTCCTCCAATCATTTGAGTTTTTTTGTTTTGTTTTTGTTTTGTTTTGGCAAACGTGATTTGACTCGAGCTCTCTTTCATATTGCATATATAAGGAATAAGGTACATATCTAAATTTACATTTGTTGTCTTTCCGTACTTTCTTTTTCCTAATTTTAATGTGAATTATGAGACAAAGGTGTTTGAAAAAATGTCTCTTCAGAATCACATATTTTAATATAAGGTACATATATTATTAGCATTTGTTCTGAGAGTCTAAATTATATATATATATATATATATATATATTATTAGCTTCCTTATTACAAAGTCTGTTACAACTAACTCATAACCAACTAGCTACAAGACTTGTACTAATAATTAACTCTCTAACAGCTTCATAACTGATTCTAACTGAGAGATGGACTCATGACTATGGCTTATAACAATAAATGGTGTGAATAAACTTCGACTAAAGAGCAATACAAACTCTTAAACACAAAATTGACAGAAAACAAACCAAAGCAATGCGATGCGAGTTTTGTAGTGGATAGATAAATTTAATGTTGAAGCTTTGTCTAAACAGCACAATAATCTTAGATAACTGTGACTTTGTGAGGACACCTGTAAAACTGATTCATTTCTTAGAGAAAAACATTTGATGACTAAATAGAATACAATAGTTGACCCACAGAGAACTAAACAAGGAATCTATCTTAAAACTTCCTATGAATCAAAGATACCAATAAATGATAACTGTATAGCCTATTTACTTAGAATAGAGTCAACTATTCTCACACTCGCTCTTAAGCTGTTAAACTTCCATTTGTCCATATTTCGAGAAAAAGTATTTCTTGGTTTTCATTTCCATTCACATAAGAATGAATACTATGATTTGCATTTTGAACAGGCATGAATACAGCATCTATAGGATAACTTCCGTTTTGAAAATTATTTCGGCGTTTTTATACGATTTCCGCGATTCTTCTCGATTTGTAATTCAATACACAAGGTTATTGGTTCTGTTAGGTTAGCTATATGCTGTTAGGTTCTGTTAGGTGTTTTGCATCCAAAGCTTGCTCGCTTTGTTTATCTTCTTTAATATCTGGTACAAGCTTTTAAGCTTCCTTGTTTTCATTTGTTCCACTCTAAATAATTTATCCAATGTCATATCATTTTCAATCGCTATTTGGGTTGAGATTGAGAATTTATCATTTTTTTGTATGTTGTAGCTGTACTTGTTGCTTTCTAGGTTTTATTTTGTTCTTAATTTCAGAGGAAGCGCAACATAAGAAAGGAAAAGGAAATTTGGGGAGGAAACAGAAATGGAGTGCGTTACTGGGATTGGTACTTCCGTTCTTGGAAAGATTGGAGAGTATGTTGTTGCACCAGCAGGGCGTCATCTGGGTTATGTTTTCCATTACAAAAGGAACATTGGTCATCTCCAGAATGAAATTGAGCGGTTAAAGGACCAAAAAGAAAGAGTGCAGCATTCTGTTGATGAGGCTATAGGAAAGCTTGAGCAAATTGAAGCTGATGTTGAGAAATGGCTACACAGAGCTTGTGAGGTCATTGAAGGCGCCGAGGAATTCATTCCAAATGAAGACCAAGCTAATGTGAGATGTCGTAATAGGATGATTCCAGATTTGCTCTTGCGATATCAGTTAAGTAGGAAAGCAAAAATCATGGCACGTGAAATTTTTATAATGAAAGATGAAGGCAAATTTGAGAGGGTTTCTTTTCGTCCTCTTGGGGTAGAAAATATTATTGAGAACAAACATTATGAGGCATTTGAAACAAGGAAGGCAACTTTAGATGGAATTATGGAGGCTCTAAAAAACTGTGATGTTGACATAACAGGGGTATATGGAATGGCTGGCGTTGGAAAAACTATGCTTGCTAAAGAAGTTGGTAGGAAAACCTTGGAGGAGGGGTTATTCAAAATGGTAGTTATGGTTACCATAACCCAAAAGCCAAATCTTGAGAAAATTCAAGAAGAAATTGGAGAACATTTAGGGCTACAATTCAAAGAAAAAAGTATTTCCAAGAGAGCAAAGAAGCTTCAAGATCGATTAAGGAAAGAGAAGGCTCTTCTTGTTATCCTAGATGACATCTGGGAGAAATTTGACTTGCAAGATGCGGGGATATCTTTCCGTGATGATCAAAAGCAATGCAAGATATTGTTGACATCTAGATTTCAAGATGTGTTAAGTGATGATATGAATGCTAAGGAGAATATTCAGGTTGGGGTTTTGTCTAATGATGAAGCAGCAGGTTTATTTACGAAAATTGTGGGCGACTCTATGAGAAATCATGAGTTCCGAACATTAGCGACTCAGATTGTCCGAGAATGTGCAGGCTTACCAATTGCTATTTCTACTGTTGCATATGCATTGGGAAACAAAAGCTTGTTCATCTGGAAAGATGCTTTAACACAGCTGCAAAGGTCTGCTCCAACAAATATTAAGAACATGGATAAAAGAGTCTACAGCAGTATAAGGCTAAGCTTTGATTTTTTAGAGAGCAAAGAAGCACAATCGTTGTTTTTACTTTGTAGCCTACATGAGGAAGATGCTCAAATAGATCCAGACAATTTGTTAATCTATGGTTTTGGCTTAGGTTTGTTTCAACACGTCTATACATTGGAGGAGGGAAGATGTAGGTTGTACACTTTGCTCAACAAACTAAAAGCTTGTTGTTTGTTATTGGGAGGTGATGATGATTGGCACGTCAAAATGCATGATGTCACTCGTGATGTAGGAATAATGATTGCATCCGAAGAACGATATATGTATTACATAAGAAGTGAAGCTGAGCTAGAAAAGTGTCTGAATGAGGGAAAACTGACGGACTCAACTGCAATTTCACTACCCCACAATTACAGCAGTAATCTTCCTGAAAAGTTGGAATGTAAGAAGCTACTTTTACTACGAATGGGGATAGCTGCGACTTTGCAAATTCCATCAGATCTTTTCGAAGAAATGGAAAGCCTCAAGGTCTTAGACTTGTCTGGTTCGTATTTAAAGCCATTACCTCCTTCTTTTCATTTCCTTCAAAATCTCCATACACTGTGTTTGAAGAAGTGCGTATAGGAAGATGTATCTCTAATTGGAGAGCTAGCGAATCTACAAATTCTTGACCTTTCATATTCTAATAGCCTTGAGCAATTGCCAAAAGAAATTGGACAGCTAACTTGTCTGCGGATATTAGATTTAAGCTTTTGTAGAAAACTTAAAGTGATTCATCCCAATGTCATATCGAAGTTGACACGTTTAGAAGAGTTAAACATGAAGATGACTTTGGAACTTGAATGGGCTGTTGAAGGAGATAGTGAAAGGAGTAATGCATGTCTTGCCGAGTTAAAGAATTTGGCTCAGCTGAAAACATTACGTTTGGACATACCATATGCTCATATTTTGCCCAAGGATGTGTTCAGCGACAAATTGGAAATATATGAAATATCAATAGGATGCAACGGTTTACCTTACATACTACTTGATTTCAGATATGAAAAAGTCTATTCCTTAATGTTGAAACTCAAATTCAAAGAACGGAGTCGCTTATTAGAGGATCATTGTCTTCTGAGGTTGATGAACAGGTCCGAAGTGTTATTTTTAGATGAACTGGAGGGTCTTGAGGACAATGTTGTTCCTGACTTCAACACAAATGGTTTTCCGCAGCTGAAACATCTCAACTTCGAAAACAATGGTACTATTAAGTACATTGTTGACATGACGAGGCATATCCCTTCGCGTAGTGTGTTTCAAAGATTGGAGTCACTGACACTTGAATCTATGAAAAAGTTGGAAAAAATATGCCATGGAAAACTGACTACAGAGACATTCCATAAACTACAAGTTATAAAAGTGAGTAGGTGTCATAACTTAAAAGATCTCTTCTCTTTATCTACTGCAATGTGTCTTTCACAACTTCAAACAATTGAAGTGTCATGTTGCAAGATGATAGAGGAGGTAGTTCTTGATGATCTCCAGGGTGCAAACAATGAAATTTTCTTTCCTCAATTCTTCTCCCTGAGGCTTTTCCAAGCTCCAAAACTTTCATACTTTTACTCCTCATTGAAGGCGTCTACAAGCACTTTGCCTCTTATCAACAAAAAGGTAATTCTGCTATTTATATGTGGTACTTTTTTTTTTTTTTTTGCACATTTGTCTTTTTTATCCCTGATAGTATTTGTGGAGTAATCTTTAATTTGAAATTCAGAATGAACTAATATCTTGATGTAAAAAAAGAAGAAATTTGGGATTTGGGAATGACATTTGTAATCCTAATAGATCTATCTCTAATAACGAAAAAGGCATATTTTCTCAATTAACTAGTGTACAAATATGCTATATTTATCACTAACTAAAGGAAATTTCAAAGAAATATATTTTAATGGTCAACAATCCTAAAATTCAATATTGGAAAAGTCGTTTTAATGTGAGTCCAGGTCAGGATTTTGTTTTTCCTTTGGAAATTTTCTTTCTCGAATTTCTTGTACGAGTTTATATATTCGCAAAAAATGGTAAATCCGAAAACTTAAGAAGAAAAGGAAAACCGTACCACAAAGTTAAAATACTTAATATATTTATTGCAATTTACCTATGTAATATTTTATGGTATTGGGGAAGTTAATTGTAATTGAAAATTGGTCAGAAATTTTCGTTCTTGGATGATCTGTTCCAAAAACTTCACATATGTTGAATAGGCCTCTTGATTTTTGAAACTTAGTAGAATAAGCATTTTAAACAGGGAAAGTAAATTATGAGCCTGCTTTTTGATGTGACATTGTCTATGACGAAACACTTTTGGGAACTTCAATTTTTGAGTACTGGCATACATACGTATTTTTTCACTCTGAACTTGCATGCATATATATGAGTAGTTGTTATAGTAACATTAGTTTCATCAATTGTAAGAGCAACAAAGTTCACTAGTATTCTAATTACTTATCTGCACTTGAAGTACTGTTTATGATTCCAATCATAGTATGCTTTTTGTATGAATGAAAACGTTTCACTTAAATAATTTGTACGCCATGCAGCTTTTGCCAAGTCCGAACCTCCGAAATTTAAAAGAAGTCTGTGTACAGGACTGCGGATCCTTAAAATATTTGTTCTCATCATCTGTTGATGCAAATTTTGAGCAACTCAATAGACTTGAAATAAGAGACTGTGAAACGATGGAAGAGATAATAAGCGTGGATCAAAGGATGAGTAAATTGCTATTCCCTAATCTAAGGTCTTTGTGCCTCTCACAACTTCCAAAAGTCACAAGATTCTCTACTGGAACCTACATCGAGCTTCCATTGTTGAATGAACTCGAAATATACAAATGTCCTGAACTGGCAACATTTCTTTACACTTCTACAAGTACAAAGATGTCAACTGACACAGAATTACGGGGGAAGTCAAAGCTTAATCTTTGCACCGGTGCGAAACTTGCTTTATTCGGTGATAAGGTGAAGTTCTTAACGCTTCTGTTACTCTGTTTAACATGGTGCATGAAGTTATTTTTGTTGACTCATCCATACTTAAGAGCTTCAGTTTTCTTAATTTAGTTGTTTTCATGACATCAATCAACGACCATTTTTTATTTTATTTTTTGAATAAAGGCAATTTGGAAAGAGAGGAAAAAAAATGATTTTTTCTGTTGAAGGCATGTCGCAAAGATTTAATATTTCGTCTATGTTGCATTTTGCTTACTCATAAATTATTTAATAACTTTTTTACAGATTTAATTCTAGAGTGAGACTACTTTTTTTTTTTATAAGAAAATTCCTTTCATTGAATACAGTTACAAAGTAAAGAGGATGAGAGATCCTAAAAGAGCATAAAACTGAAAAAGTAAAACGAGTCAAACGTACAAGAAGAAACTACATAAACCAGAAACCACTGATTCCCAATAAGATCCCTCCTATGTAACACAGATTCTGAAAACTTCCAGTTTAAAAGTTTTAACCATAGTCGCCCACAATAATGCTGAATATTTAGCCTTTTCAAACAAATCCAGCTCATCCATTTCTTGTTCTTAAAATTTCTTCAAAATTTGTTTTCTATCCATATTGTGAGGAACAAGGAAATCACCATGCTATTCCACAAAACTTTTGCCATTTTATTTGTCCCGAAACCAATCGATTCTTCTTGCAATAAAGACTTGCTGTCTGATACTAAGGAGACTAACTTTTACACAATAGGCGCTGATAAAACTTTAGACAAATGTGACATTTTTTTAACCACACGTTTCAAAAAATAGGCGCTGCCACACTATTTAAAGTGGAGAGTTTATTATTTGCAATATGTGGTTAAACAAATGGAAAATACTAAGGAACTGCTATCATTCTTTTGATAAGAAACAAGGAAAGCTTCATTAAGCATCAATAAAGTACAAATGAAGTTTCTGGATGAATGAGAAATTCATCCCTAAAGAGCAAATGAAAGTACAAAGACAGAAAATAAGATCGTCAACAAAAGGCCAGACTAAGAGCATCAACCCCCTGTAGGCTCTGAGTTAGCTTTAATGTTTACTGGGCTGATATCGAATTACTAAACGCTATACCTTCATCTTCTGTTCCTCAATCTCGTCTCCGAACCAAGAGCATTAAACCTATTTCCGATGGTCTTCATTGAATTACGTATCTTCTCATGCATGTTTTCCTCTGTTTCCCATGCCTACTTAACGGACGTCTTCTTTTTCGACCAAGGAAAGACCATCTCTCTTCTCCACACTTTGATTATTTTCGTTCTGAGCCCATCTCAGTGCTTCCTCCACATGTCTGTGGCTAACTAAGAAACCTGATTCTGCCTGTTTAATTTTTGACCGAATATTCATCTCAGTCCATGATTTTTCCAAACAATCTTGGTATTCGCCACTGCTAGGTCAATGCTTCTAACAAAATCTCTTGAGTCCTTATTTACTTCTGCTTTTTTCTAAAACTACATTCCTCTGCCTTGCTGTTGGGATCATCTTTCCTAGCCTTTGCTCACTTCTACCCCTTGCTTGTCGAACCTTTTCACTCTACTTATTACAAATAGCTTGATAGGTCCCGTTAAGCTTCTGTCGGTTCGTTTCCTTTCCTTGATTCCAGGTCTCTACTTTTATATATCTTCTTGAACATGGCATTAGTTTTAAGGCCATATGTTTGAAGTGTCTTTTACTTGTTAATTATGTGAAACTTTGACTGTTCTAGTGGAAGGTTGGAATTGAAACTTTGATACAAACGTTTTACATCCGTAAAAAAAATTAAGAATTTTCACCTGTACTCCTATGATAATACGACAGGGACCGTATTTGTTACACTTAGCTCATTAGCTATAAGAAATCTAAATAGTTTTAGCTCATATTAATGACCAAATGAGAAATCTAATTTCTTCTTATCATCACATCTTATGAATGGCCAAATAAAGAGCCTATATTTCCATGATTCAATATTTTGAGCACATTAGACATATATAGAGTTTTCCTTGACAAGAATTGAGCTCTATGCAGGTTTTAGCAAGTGCTTTAACAAGATTGGTTATGAACGAATGTGGATCTTTGAAATATCTATTCTCATCCTCGGCAGCTGCAAATTTTGTGCAACTCAGTCAACTTGAGATAAGCAATTGTGCAATGATGGAAGAGATAGTAAGCATTGATCAACAGATAAATAAACTGCTATTTCCGAAGCTTCGCCATCTGAGCCTCTCAAATCTTTCAAAAATCACTAGATTTACTGGGATCTTCATTGAATTTCCACTCTTGATTGAACTTTCTATAAAAGATTGTCCTGAACTCAAGAGTTTCGTATACTGTTCTACGAGTACAAACATGTCAGAGGACAAAGAACTAAAAGAAAGGAAGTCAAAAGATGATCTTTGCAGCACTGCATTGTCCTTATTTAATGATATGGTTAGCTCATGAAGTCCACTATTCTCGTTTTACTTGACACCGTATTGATTTTTGCTTTAGTACCTTTCTGATTCAATTATATTTTCACTAATGGGATTAAGCAATGCAGGTCGCTTTCCCTAGTCTGGAGTCGATAAGAATTAAAAGGCTTGATTGCTTGAAGTCGATATGGCATGGCCAGCCTATAGCAGATTCTTTTTGCAAACTAGAACTCGTCGAAGTTTGGTACTGTGACAGTCTATTGAAAGTATTTCCGTCTAATTATATGCTCAGAAGATTCCATAATCTAAGACGATTCTATATTCGGCCATGGAAATCACTGGATGAGGTATTTCTTTGATACTTTATTCATAATCTTAAAATTATAATATGGTATGTTTCACTGTGCAATAACCCGCTTAATTCCTTGCACTTACGAGGGCCTAGATAGGAGAGTTTGTAACACCCCAAGTCCAGCAATGGGTATGCAGTCAGAGTGCGGAGATCAATTATATTTAAGTGTTAGCTTGGTGGCCCAAAAGTAGTTTCAATTAGCACTTAGAGTCTTACAATGGAGTGTGTCGATTCGTACTTTGTGTGCAACTTGAGAAATTAAAGCTTGGGGAACTTTTGTGATGTTTATGCCAACATTATTAGAAAATGTGCCCAAAATTCTATTCTTCCATCCAATTTTTAATCATTCCACAAAAAAAAAAAAAAAAAAAAAAAATCTAGTAAGAAAAAAAAAAAAAAAAAAAATATATATATATATATATATTATATATAAGAAGGTAATATAAGTAACTAACCAAGAAACTGGAAACTAAAGTACTTTTAGCTAAGATGTTTTGATAAACATCTCTCTTCTCTAACGAAAACAATGGTTAAAAGCTTAAGAAGAGAGAGAGAACTTTGAGATGAGCTCCAGTTTAGTGATTTCTAAAGACGTGGTAGATTTTTTTTTCTAATCTGATTGTATATAGAATTCGAAGCATTACTATAGTAAAAATGATATGGTCGATTCTTTTATTTCTTTCGTTATATATCTGATTGGTTGTAGAAGATTTGGAGCCTTACTCTCAAAAATATGCGCAGAGTTTATTTTTTATTTTTTTATTTTTTTTATTTCCTCATTGGCTATAACAGATTCGAAGCATTGCTGTTACATTTATTTCTCCTGAATTTTCTGAAAGAATTTAAATTATTTATTCATGTATGTTTACGACAATGTTTGATCGAAATTTCCAGGTTGAATATAACTCGAATTTGGAAGAACTGATTTTGGTTGGAAGTGGTAGCCATAATGTGACGCCGTGTG